AATGAATATTTGTTTGGGTTAAAATAAATGTTCCCATATGAGATACGACTTGGGAAATGTGCAATGTTGTCAAGGAAAAAAAAGGAAATATAGGACTCTTGCTTTATTGAAATTGTGTGGATTTTGTCAAATAATGTTATTATATACAAATCTGGTAGTAAAGATGTCACATTAATTGTCTTTAAGAGAATGTCCATCAAAAATGATATATAATAAATGCAAGAAATCCTTATTTATCCACCTTTTGAATGTTGGAAAAGCATATATTCTGAGTAATGGGAAACAATAGAAGCCACCTACATGACAGTGGTTTGCCAAACTGGAAAACCTTATGACAATGGAGAATCTAATTGCCTTTCTCAGAGACATGACTCGGTTATACACAAAACCCTCATACTATTGGTTCCAATTCCAATAAACCAAGAAATACTTACGTAAGTTTAGAAAAAGAAATCATAACATGAATGGACAATTCTAGTTTACCACTTTGTCTACAATATTTCCTCCCTTACATCCTCTCCTCCACTCCTTTTAATGTAATCTACCTCCCTTCCCCGTTTTTTCCCATCTCGCCATTTCCCCATCCCCTTTCCATACAAACCACAAGGTAGCCAACTATCTTGCCCCCAAGACACCCTCTCCCCTTAAACTCCTATATGTATATCTATATTTTTGCTAACAGCTACAGGCCTCCCCATTCCCCCATGGTTTGATACTAACGAAATAAAAAGTTTAAAGATGTTTTAGTATGTATGCTGATTTCATATTACATACGTTAAACCAAATCATGAGAATATTTCTGAGGTGCTGGGAGGAGTCTCTTGCTATCCTTTATGATAGACCCAACTTCATCAGAGTCTGGAGATAGCTTATTAGCTTATGGTTAGGCAGTTCAACAATGCTCAGTTGCCAATGGGAGATACTGGAAGTAACTCATAGATTGGACAGAAAAGGATAGTATAAGGCCAAACCAGATTTCAGAGTCCAGAAAAAGTTAAATGATTTTGTTGTTCAAACAACAAACCTGCTTTAGGGTTTGTGTCTGCCCTCGAAGTGCATTGGCTGTTTGATCATTGCAATCATTAAACTTGTAATGGACTCTGAAATCTGATTTAGTCTGGTGCTCTCCTTTTCTATCCATACATTAAACCAGGTATAACATTATTTACAAGCTACTCACTTGATTGAATATACTGCAGATACTGCCTGTCAAGTTGTTGCACGTAAAATGTACTATGCCAAACCACTGTTATTGTCATCTCCTGCCCCATTCCAGTATAGTGGGAATATTAAATAAAGAATGAACAAACAATCTAAAGAAAAAACTAAGGGGGCTATTCACTAATGAGCCGTGACATCACTGCTAGCTTCGCCCTTTTGTTGTCATTCGGCCAGGACCTTTCAATAGTGATTTGACAGATGTCAGTGGAATGTCAACAGATAGGCGAAGCCAGTGGTGATGTCACTGCTAGCTCCGCCTAACTGTTGACATTCGGCCATCACTTGTCAAATTGTTCATTTGGACAGGTGCAGTCGGGTCGTTGGGCTTTTGGGGGTAACCCCACACAGTTTTATTGTATTTTTTCTAATTTTGTCTACATTTTTTTAAAATTTTGTTCGCTACTTCTGTTCGCTACTACAGAATAACAGAGCCGAATGCTGCATGGCAACATTCGGCTATTCACTCACTGCTGCTCGGCCTCTAGGGGAATATGGGCGAACAGCAGTGAATGAACTACCGAACGTTCACCTCAGCCGTTTCATATGTTGGATAGGCTGAGGCGAACGTGTTCTTCACTTTGGTTTAGCTGAACGCGTTGAGGCTGTTCGGCTGAACCGTAGTGAAGTGAAGTGAGCCGAAGCCAGCCGATATACAACTGTGTTCAGCTGAAGTGAGTAGCTGAATGGGGTTTGGCTCCCTTTACTTCGGGTCGGTTTCTGAAGTTGTGCACCTCTAGCCCCTAGGCAGACTGGCCCCTCCAGGCTGCACTGGTGAGGAAGCGATGTCATCAGAGGGAGGAGGAAGTGAGCAGATAGCCTAGAAATTCTAGGTTCAGCCGCTCCTTCTCTCTGCATGTCCCTGAAAAAGTGACAAGTGGATCAAGCACAGGGGGCAGTGTTTCGTAATGCAGTGGCTGAGCTGCTAGCTGGCAGAAAGGTTCAGTGCTTGGAGTTTTGGGGTTCAAGGTCAGGGTTGTGGGGGAAGCAGTGTTCGGGGTGCTGGGAGTGAGGAAAGTTTAGAGCCAGGGGTGCAGGCATAGAGTCTTTCGGGTAAACCAAAATGGTGCCAATACCTGGTGTATGTTCAGTAGTGGCAGGAAAGTAGTAATATTGTGATGCTAGTACACATGCACAATAGCATCAGTGTTTGAATGCAGACCAGCACTATACACAAAAACCAAAACCCAGTGGGAAGCACAGCCACAGTGGTACCTACAGCTGGTGAATCTGTGTTGCAATGAGAGCTTTTAATTTTTGGACCCATCATGCCTCCCTACACCCCAGCTTCTCCTGTGGCTTACAAAGGCACTGTAATCCCCGGCCTGGCACCTTACATCAGCAACCTCCCTGACTAACCTCTGCTGCTGGCCAGGAGAACAGCATGTAGAGTTACATCTGACAGTTACTCTTGAAAGCACCACTCACCACCGGACCTCCAACCACACACCTCACCACCACTGCACCTGCAACTCCAACCTCACTACTGTGCCTGACCCCCATCCTCTCCCTCTGACTCACCACCTCTCCCACATGTCCTAACTTTACTCACCACTCTACCAACGCCCACCTCTGTGCTTGCTACCACTGCATCAACGCATGCCACTGTGACAATGCATACTTCTGTGCTCTCTGCCATGCAGTGACATGCTCTTCCATATTCTGCCCATTCAATGAATGGGCACACTTTATTTATATATGAAATGGGATGATTGTAGAACCCAGTTACCGGTTATACTAATAACTTCTACTAGATGCATACTTATGTGTTAAACATTTATTTTACCAAAAAGTCTACACTTACTCTTCCTGGGTCACTCTACATTAGTGCATCCAAACTAGTCATTTTGGATGTAGAATTAATAAGTAACTTCTAACCCTTTTTCCCAATTATCAACCACAATGTAAACAAAGACAGTAAACTTCTGTTTCTCTCCCCAGCAGACTGGCTCAAACACATCTCCAACCTTAATTCTCATAAAACAGACACAGGTTGTTCCATCCACTCCACACTCTCTGTATCCTTTAGTTGTCCTCTTCCTCATCACTACATTTACAGGGTCTTTTAATGGTGCTATATAATAATGTGATGTCCAAATGATTGTTCCAGCATCCGCAAAGCATCTTCAACATTATGATCTTTACTATAAAGTTGAAATAATATTTATCTTTTCTCCTCTATTTCACTGTAACGTTGATAAAATGTACTTAAGTCCGATAAATCAAACAGCACAATTAGGGTGCCGCTTTAGTGCTGTTTATTCAGATCAAAAGTAAGATGGCAGGCTCCCTGGGGAAAATGGCAAATCACACCACACTCCTCCAGGATAGGGGAAGCAATATTTTAAATGGACGCAAGTCTGTTTACATACAGTTACCCCCAAACAGAGTTTAGTTTTGGCAGACCTGATCATAGTGGATTGGGGGTAATCAGACTCTTCATAGACCAACAAGGGTCCAGCAATTTCAGTTTTTCTCCTCCATCACAAGATGGAGGAAAAAACTGGACGAACATGAACGTCACAACGGTGACATCCATTCCAAAATGCTCTGATCAGCAGAGGATCTGTGCACGGTTCCCCTGCCGATTGGAACCGAAGGAGCCCGTATGAAAGGGGCCTTAACAGGCTTTTAAAAATAAAACCCCCAATAAACCAAACACTGTGAGGGTTAATCCCCAAGATTTTTAAGGAGACAGACTCTGTCCCAACCCACTGTTGTCCAACTGAGTCTAAGAAAAATGTTTTGGGTGGATGTATCTTTTTTTATTATTTTCAATCATTTTTTGTTTTTTACTGGAGAACTAACCTATGGACACTTTTTGTACACAATCATTCAAGGTGCCTTTTAAGCTTGTCATCAACTTTATTATTTGAGTTTTTGTCTTTTAGTCCATTTGGATAATTACTAGTTCTTTGAGGAGAGAAATGCGGATGCCACACTTCCTGAAATTGCTCTTGGATTTAAAATAGATTACATCTTTTTCCTCCCTCCAACAAAAGCCATTCAAACATTTCTTCAGGCAACGGCACTTTGCTTGAGTGGACACCCTTCCTTTTAATATAAGATAAGTACAAGGCACTCCAGTAATTTAAAAACACATAGCAATCTGCAAAGACAATGCAGTGTGAAGTGCCATCTTTCCATAAATGATTTGCCAGACTTTCACTCTGCTGTGCAGATTTGAAAATGTTATACTTGGGGCTGATCACTTGTATTTTGATACTCTATCAAGATATTAAAATAAGTAAAACATTTATATAAGCCCCTGTAAAATCCTCCTATGAATTTTGAAATATCGAGTTCTGAACTACAGTATATACCTATAGTGAGTCTTAGAGGAATAAAAGAAGACTGTCCTGAGAAAACTAGGGCACATTATAGCCCAAAGCATATTCACTGTGACTATATATAGACCATCTTTATAGCAGAAAGTCTTTTATAACACAGAAAAGCAAAATACATTTAACATAGAAAAATTAGAGGCAATGTAAAACTAGAGTTTTTTTTTAATTTCTGAAGTTGGCTGATTGCTTTGAATGCAATCCCCATATCTATGTAATCAAACATTGCCCAATCCTGCTTTGATGTCCACATAACCTTACTCATATTGTGTCAAGGAATCCAGCAAAAAAGCTCAAACTAATATAGTACTAACCCAGATCACAAGTTTTGATAAAAAATATTTTATTTTGTGTAAAAAAAACCCATAATTTTAATAGTGCAATTATACATAGATTTTAATGATACCATTTTGTAAAAGTGTAATGATTTCCAAAATGTTATAAGATCTTGTGTATTAGCGTGCTTGCTGCAATCACCAGATTTCTGACTGTGTTTGCCACTGAACAAGATGATAGTGACGGCAAAGATGAGACACATTCATTTTCTTCTACTGTGTATGATTTCACTTCAGGTGGTGATATGAGCATTCCATTAACCTGTAAGGAAACAAAAAGTTCCAGAGAAACACAAATAAATACAATTTAGTTCAACTGTACAGTTCCAGTTTTTGTTTTATTGTTTTCATAGGGATTAGAAAAACCTGGACTTTTGTGAAATGGGCCTCATAAGTTCTCTATTTGCACTCATTTTTGGTTTAAACACACTTGTAAAAAGACATGCAGGTATAAATACAGTTGGGATTAAGGGGGTTTTGCTAAAGGGGGCTTTTAGAGGGGGTTCAATGTGTTGATGTCAGCAATGACAGCATAAATATTATTATTATTACATTATTTATATAGCGCCAACAGTTTGCGCAGCGCTTTACAATGTAAGGAAGACATTATAATTACAATACAATACAAGACAAGATGGTAAGGAGGGCCCTGCCCCTGAGGGCTTACAATCTGAAAGAGGAGAGGGAAATGATACATGAGGAGGTAGCTGTGTGGGGATGAATTGTTTAGCCTGGCATGTTTAAACACCTGAACTATTTATTTGAATAGGCTGTCTACCACAGCTGAATTGCAATGAAAGAAGTGCAAGCACGATACAATGCACTCACGATGGCTAGGTGTGTTGGGGAGCCATTAAGAAATAATGACACCGCAGGGCACCTAACATTGAAACATGTGATGTGTGATTGCATATGGCTTCACTTATGCTCCCACATAAGTGATGGAGGTTTTGTAGTCCAAATCAGGAGAGCAGACAATGGTGACAATGCTATCACCCATGGACAAGTGTGTTCCTGGGAGGAACAACAGGTGTAAACTGTGGAGTACCTGGCATGGATGACACCTGAGAAGGATTATTTTTTACCACCCCCATGCTCCTCTATATGTCAAAGCGTTTTTGCACTAATAATCATATAATTAAATAAATTCTAATAACGGGTAGAAAAATGTAAATGGTGAAGATTGTTTTATCTGACTGTTTATATATAATCATGTTGGTAAAAAAAAATGTAAGAATTAATAGTGGAGCACATAGTGACCCACAGCAAAACTTGGGATAATAATAGCATGCTAAATAAAATTGAAAGATTTACAGTGGACTACATGTGGACTCAATTACAGTAATATAATGCTCTGTGACTTCATAACCTATAGGTAAAAAAATTGCTATCCTGAAAATACATATATCTCAAATTAGCAATTATATACAATATACAGCCAACAACCAGTTAGCTGTTACAATATGCAGGCAGCAAATAGGCATTCACTGCAATACACGGGCAGACAGCAGCCAGTTGTGACAATATGCAGGTAATAAATGGGCAATTGTGACAGCAAGGGGCAATAGACTGGGTATTGTAACTATAAAAGGGCAACAAACTAGTAATTGTGACAATTTGCAAACAACAAACCGGCAATTATGACAATATAAAGCAACAGCAAATAGGCGTTCATTACAATATGTGGGCAGAAAGCAGCCAATCATGACAAAATGAGGACAACAAATGGGAAATTGTTACACTAGATTGCCTAAAAATCTTACTCCCTCCTCCATACCTCCCTCGTTCGTCTCTCAACCCCCAGCCACCCACCCCCAGCAAAACCCCATTCCAGCAAAAAAAACTTCTCTCTCCCTCAGAAAATGTCCCCAGTCCTCAGACACAGTAGGGCCTAGCAGAGTGAAGGAAGTCCTCCTAAGCTTCCCCTCAGCTCTGTCATATGCATTAGAACAGGGAAGGAGCTTAGGAGAGCTTCTCGTGCCTCTTTGTTGCAGCTGTATGATGTAGTATATTACATTTTGGGGTTTGGATACACCACCCCCTTAGTTTAAAGAAGCAAAGCTACCCAGATCAGGACAGATAAGTTGTATCTGATAAATTAGAATGCTGGCTGAAGAAGGAGGATTAGGAATTGCTACAAATAAAAAACATTTTGTTTTAAAATCCACATAAACATCTAATCACTGGCCCTAAATATAACCTAAGGCAAACCCATGGAGGGAAAATAATTTCTAAATATTGTGAATAGAAAGCACCAACAGATGTATACATGCTGCCTCCCACACCAGGGTCCAAAAAAGGTTCTGTACTCTAATTATTGACCCAGCTTCATAATTGCTGGTGCTGGTCCTGCCCCTACCACATTTTAAGCTTTTCTATTTGTCTCTCACGGTGATAGATTACCTTACTAACCAATAGTGGGGTGTATGAATGCAGAGCCAGTACCAGAAGCTAGGAAGCTTGACTGGTAATGCTGTACTCTCATTGAGTGTTTACACAGAATAGGATAATTAACTATATGGGACTATTTATTTATTGAATTTGAAGGGCCCTTGACATCCAGTTTCTAAAATCTTCATAGTACATCTTCTTCCTTTCTGTTCTCTAATGTGTTTTCTATGGACATGCTGTAAAAGCGGGTTTTACAGACAGCAAAATAGGGTTACATGCAATATTTCAACAGTGTACTAAAAAATAAATATGCTGATTTGAAATAATTTCAAAGAAAAAAATGACTATTAATGAAAGAAGATATAAGTACTATGTCTCCATGTTAAAGGGTCAGTCTCATGAACTGAGGATAATGCAGTGAACTGGACCCTACCGTGACTATGACTGCATTCGCTGAGAAGCAAAGTTTAAGGAATGGGTGGCATCTACCAGGGACCCCCTCATGGGGGTTTAGACTAAGCTGTGTCCCATCCCCAGCTCACTCTTCCAGATAATAGCAGACATACCAGGAAGATGGGATAGGACCACTGATTGATTCAGTCAAGCCTCTAGTGAGAGAACAGAGTAGCTGGTGGGAGTACTGCAGGGATAAGATGTGTCCAGCTGCAAGTTGGAAGGGCAGATTTTGGCAAACAAAGTGTACTAGGATTAGCTGTGCCCAGCTGCAAGAGCTTGAAGAAACAAAGATTGGCAAACGGAGAACACCAGGAGAAGCTCTGGCCGGCTGCAAGGGCTCGAAGAAGTAGAGTTGGGCAAGTGGTCCATACCAATGCACAAAGGGGCAGATGGAGTGGCAAGTGAAAGGTACAAGAAACCAAGTCAGTGGTCAGGAGCCACTGGTGTAGCATACCTGGAGACATGCTAGCGCCCAAGAGTGTCTGGTAGAAAAGTGCCAGGAATGATGCCAGCAAGCAGGAGCCACTGATGGAGTGTACCCAAAGTGATGGCAGTGACCAGGAGTGACAGATGAAGTATACCTAGAGTAATGCCAATGGCCAGGAGTGACTGATGGAACATACTAATAATACTTAAAATAGTGGCTGCTTGGATCAGGCAGCAGTAGCAGTGGCACAGGAAGGCTCAGGGCTGCAGAAACACAGGCAGGCCTGTAAGGGGCTCAGCATCACGTGGACAAAAGTTGGACAGGCATTGGTCCACGGCGTACGCTGGCTCTTTAAGGATGTGGCTGAGTGATGTGGTGGTGCCTGAATGGCGGGAAAAAGTAAAAGAAGTGAGTATGCACTAGGAGACACGCCTCTGTAATGAGGAGGGTAAGTAGCCAGTGAGAATCCTACTCTAATATAAGTAAGCAACAAAGTTAAGCATACTGTATACTTCATATTGAATTGGATACATAAAGTATATCATGCATATAAGCATCTGTATTTATATAAAAGTTTGCAGATATATTTTTGTATGTTTTTTATTTTTTGGAATATTTAGGAACTATATTATGAAAGAAATTACTAAAAGCCTCATGACAACCTTTGCTAAAACACCTGGATGTCATCAGTACTGTTTCAGGTTCTGGGATTTGTCAGCTAAAGACTGGTTATTCTGGCCAACCTGTAAAGAACCACAGACATCACTTCACAAAATACCAGTAGGCTGTACAGCCCTGGAAAACATATGTAAATAACTACAACAATTCAGCAATTCATTCAATTAGCATGGTCGATTTGCAGCTGCAATGAAGCCATCAGTTATTTTAGGACCGTGTACATCAGATACCTGTCAGTGAATTTCCTGAGCACAGATATTGTACAGCACAATAGACAGGGATGTGGCTAAACTAGGCAGAAGGAATTCAAAGTGCTGAATAATGGTAACAGGAAATTAGATCAAACATTCTAACAACAGTTGTGGCGTGGGGCATGATCCAACAAAATTCACATGGCAACTTTTCAGTGCCATGACACGCCTGGAAACCAGCACAGAAAAAGTGACTCATTCTTTTCTGAACTAAAGCCCAATGCAAAGTCAATTATATTCCAGTAGTATTCCAAATTCCTTCTGCTGAGCTCGCCGGGTAATCAGTCTCTTCTACAGCTTTTTGTTTACTGGCCTTATTTCATTCATTTTGCTATTAACTTTAGAAAAATGTATATGACCATGGTGAAGACTAAAAACACCAACTCCCACTCCCCTTCATATCACATAATGAGCAAAGTCCTCTTACTCTTTGCCTCTTCCCCAGTGCTAGGTAGTCCACAATGATATAGAGAGCAGATGATCTAAGTGCTGCACTCTGCGCTATTACACTGTGAATGCTGGGCGCTATGGTCCATGATGCTTTGTGCTCGCAGTGCCGGATCCGGGTTAAATGATGATGGGTGAATAATGCACATGAAGACTGAAGAAATTGAGCAGCAGAAAAAAATAATAATGTGGCAGACAGCACCAGAGGGTAAGATATTTATTTTAATATATCTGGGACACAAGTAAAAAAAAAAAAATAGCCCAAATGTGGGTTTAAATTGTAAACTAGAAGTGCAATAAATAAATATAAAAGTTTTCATGTTTTATAGAACCTGATTTATTTAAAATAGCATTAAAATGTATAATGTAAGATGCCATTCTAATGTATGGCAACACACAAAGGTTTACAAAAAAATTATGAACGCTATTGTAAACCTGAGATAAGTAGCATTGGTAGCATCACGTACTCCACTACTAACTATCCTTATAAACATGAATGCTAAGTAGTCATGCCCAACCACTTTCCTAAATCTGCAAATTGCAGTATGGCATCAGCCAAATTAGGCTATGGCGTGTCTGTGTTCAGTGTCCCTTAATAGGAATACATATGTGTGTTACTGTATTTAAAGAATAAGGCTAACAGCAGGGTACCACTAAGCTTGGTAGGTTAGCATAATGCTTTTATTACAAATTGAAGTATCTCAATTAAAATAATGCTTTTATCACAAATGTAAGTATCTCTCACCTCAATGGCGCCACAAGGGGGGTGCAGGGAGTTCGGCCCACAACCGGGTGTCACTATTGCAGGGGCGACACCAATATTACTGACAGTCATCTTGGTGTCACCCCCCTCTAAAATGTCGGGCACTCGGCCATGGAACGAGAGCCCGACAGTGTCAGGAGAGCGGAGGGCAACATGGTGGCATACCTCATCTCGCTGGGTGAACATCCCCTCCTCTCTCTGCCGGCGTCCATCACCAAGATGGCCACTGGCAGGCATAATCAGACAGCCGCGCGATGATGTCATTGCGCATGTGCAAGAAGATGTCACGCGCACGTGCGATGACGACGTGGCGGGGTGTCACCCGGTCTAGGGACCGGGTGACACCCGACCTCAGGACGCCCCTGTCTCACCTTCATGTTGTGTTAGCTTTACAAATTGAGCCTAATAACAGGTTTAAAGTAACATTACCCTTACTTACCTATACTTATCTATACTACTGCCTTACATTTAAAGGTATGGGCTTTCACATACAGTTTAAAATGACCACAGGGTCACACACAAAAAGGTCTAGTCCTGTGAAAGCAGAGGCTCTATACTTGTGCCTTGAAAAGCTGCCAATTCCGTGTTCCCTGGCTGCTGCCAGCATTTCACAATTCTAGCTGTGTTAATGCCTCCTTCTCCCACCACAAAAAATGGTTTATCCCAACAGCTCTTACATTACTACAGGGCATACAAGCTAGCTAAAGACTTCAACATATGTCATTTTTTTATTTTACTCATAGTCCCTCATTAGAAAGAAAAAAATTTTAAAAACCTATTGTGTTCTTACTTGTTATCATTGCTTTGGTTCCTTTAGAGGTGAAAGGCACTGTATGCAGAAAGCCAATAAACAAAACTATTTGCATCTGTATAGCTAGATAACAGTTTTGTAGGTCTTTATACTTACCGACCATTCTTCACTTTCATGTTTAGAACACCTCACATTTATTGGCATTTTCCTGACTCGTTCATTGAAGGCATTTCCTTTCTTCCTAGACCACTGAAATGTGTTCATAGCCTCTGGAAATGTTAGATTATTGTACCGTTTTGGGCTCTTAATTATTAGAGGCCAGGACCTGCAGGAGCATAAAATATCTTTTTATGATACACTTATAAAATATCTTGATCTATCAAATACCACTGAAGTGAGACATTTTAATTACTGCCAAAGTAGAAAGGTCAATAATGATATTAGCATGTTCAGAGGGATAATGGTACTACATATCAAGTGAGCATTTGCCTGGCATCTTGATTTAAATCTAAACTCCAAACGGCAATTAATACATTTATTAAAAACATTTTAACTGTAGTTTTAAATGTGACTAGTGTAAATGCCAGAATTTTATATGATATCAGCCTACAGCAAAATTCAAACATGAAGAGGGAGGAGTGGCATTAGGAACCACTTAGATGTGTTGCATGTTTAGTTGCTGACAAGGAACATACTGATTGGAGGAATGAGCAGCAGTAGAATGACCTCATGTGTCTGCAGCTCTTTGTCTGGTCACAGGTGGCAGGTAACATGACCAGGTCTTACTGCTTAAAGGAGAATTATGGGGAGTGTAAAATACACTCATCCCCATAAGTAGAGCCAGCATGTGACACTGGAGCTGTCACACCTCGACTCAACACCTAGATAAACAACTGAGCAATCACATACCACTGATCGCTCAGTTTCCAATCTTCTCCCTGCAGAGAGCGGTGACTATCAGTCACCGCTCCCTGCAGGGACCCCCCCCTCTAGTGCTGACTGTAGGGACAGATGGGGGAGGGGTTGGCATAGCTGGCTCTAGAGAGGCAGAGCCACTTGTCATTCAGGTGGTGGGGTGGATCCCGACAATATTGTTGGGATCTTTCCCGGCCGCAGCATGGTTCTGCGCTGTCAGCAAATAGCAGGCAATAGACTGCTATATGCAGATTTTTGGGTCACAGGAGGACACAGGAGGGTCCTGTGACCCTAAAGAGAACTATGGCCAAAACAGCTTGGGCCATAGTTCTTTTTTAAGCTCAACTGAGAAAAGTCAGGTCACTGATCTGGCTCTACTGTCAGTCAGGGCTGTGTACATTTTAGAACTGGATAGGAAGAAATGCTAAATATTTGGCACATAAAACAGCTTCTATATATATATATTTTTATATTTCAACTGTGTACTTTTGCCTGGGGTTTAGCCTTATGCATATTAATTATATGGAATTTAGTTAATATTGATTCTGGCTACATTAACAGTTCTGATACATGCACATAAGTAGGTTTTGCAGGAAGGTGAATAGATAACATTGCTAGAAGATGGCATTACATAGGAAGACACAATATCATTTTCAACCAAAAATAATATCATATAGCTGTTCTATTTAATATGTATAACCAAAATCCTGGGCAATTACTTATGCATTAAAATATATGGATTTTGACTTAATGTACTTACGTAACTGGCCTGTATATTTCTTTCACACCAATGAACTGAAGTTGCTCATTTATTTCAGGGATGCTTTCACATCGAGCAAGATTAATTTTGGGGTAGTAAATTAAATAGGAAAGGCACATCTCATCTCTTGCACTTAGACCACCCTGAAAAATATAGATGTAGAATTAACTAGTGATGCATTTCTTGCAAATTCCTACAAAGTAACCCATCAGTTACCTGTTTTTTCTTAGCCAATGTTGGGGAAGTGGTCAAATGCTGGAGTGCTATTACTATGTAATCTGCCTTGAGTTTAACTCTGTTGTAAGAACACATCAGTTACTGCATTAGCATTAATGTATTAAATCAAATCAAAATAAGTCCACAAGAATACTGGTCATAAAAATATGTAGGCTGCCACTGCTGACCTCTACTTAAAAAGGCTAGTTGCTTGGCCTTTATACTGCTGCATTTAGTATGAAACATATAATAAATAATACAAATATGAAATTACTTTTTTGTGATTTTATTGTTCTTTTTGGGGGTATATGCCTCAGAGGTGTTGTAGCAGGCACAATTTGCCTACATAGTTTTCTCATACCAGCTGTATTTGAAAATACAAATCAGAGTTATATATAAAAAAAACTAAATGCGGTTAATAATTTGCTAAAACTGTTCCCAAATCAAGTACATTTGGATACGTTGTGTATTTGTTTTCTCAATCCCTGTCTGTTTCAGTATATGTAAATATCAAGACTTTTAAAAGGATTGTTTTAATATACATAATAACAAAGCTAACGCATCAGAATAAGTATATTTTCTTTCAAAAAAGTGACAGCTATTTTTAGTTAGTCCATTGAAATTTAAAATTACTGTCAATAAATAAATAAATAGTCTTAGGCCGGCCAGCTTTCTGAATTGATCCTATTGTGTGAATGGTGTATTCATTTACTGACAATAACACAGCTATTGTATTATTCAGCATATGTTGTAGCTATTGTCGATAGTAAATCCGTGTACTGAAATGTATACTGTGGCTAGCAGAATCAGGCTCCAAATAATAAGGTTAAGTAAAGAAACAATTCTGCTTTGAAAATATATGATTGAACCTGTAGCACTTAAAATTACTGTCAAATGTATCAATTCTATCTGCTGAGTTTTTAAGTGCTTTCTGAAAAAAAAAATAAAGATCTTTCTTTATAGGCAACAGAGATTATTAATGGCGTAAAATCTCTCTTACCCACGTCATTGTGGGTCGGCTCTTTGTATTGTACTGGCATTCTGTAATGATGTTATCTCCCTGAAAAACAAAAACAGCTGATTAATTGGTTTACTTTAGCAATGCAGTTGTACAGTATGTATACATGCAGTTTTGCAAATGAATCTTTATTGTTTCAATAAAACCATTTCTTACATAGATTAGTTCAACATGCCTTGTCAGGCTTATGATCCATTTGAGTACTCGATAATAGACTTAATACACAAAGCTTTAACACAAGAATAAGGATCTCAAATTTGACTGACTGAATTTTTTTTTCTTAACAAAAATAAGTATACTTATTCCGGCGTGTTAGCTTTGTGAACTGAGCCTAGAGTGTTTTAGAACTCTATCTTAAGTAGTTTCTTACAGGTTTATCTAGAGCATGGGTGGGGAACTCTGGTCCTCCAGCTGTTGTGGAACTACAAGTCCCATGAGGCATCGCAGGACTGACATTTACAGGCATGACTCCCAGAAAAAGAGGCATTTGGGGATTTGTAGCTAAAGCACAGCTGGGAGGCCAGAGTTGCCCACCCCAGTCTAGAGACGTAAAGTGAATCTGTGGCTGAGAAAAACATATTCTGAAGTAGACACCTAGAGGTGCATACACATTGCTTTAAATTCTCTTTAGTGTGCCAGAGAGCCTCAAGCTAGATCCACTGTTAGGGTTGAGGGATACATGTTAGAGATGCACTTTAGGGGTTCAGTTTTGGTGGGAGACGATAAGTGTTTAGGTCTAATTTTTTGAGTTAGGAGAAGTCTCATACTTAGGAAAGTTAAGTGCTTGTTTAAAGGATAATTCCAGATTCCCACTGCAGCTGGTGTAAGTCCCATACACCATACACAGCATTGCAGCATGGTACTCTGTATATGGAATAATGCTCTTCTCATTAGTCAGCGTGGTCAGGTGACCATGCTGACCAATGAGCGCTTGCTATTTGTGAGCATTACTCCAAATACGGAGTAGCGGACTGCAATGCTGTGTCACGTACATTGGTTGTAGCTGGGGGGAACAGCGGTTTCCCCAAAGGTATGACTACTGGGGGGGGCAGAGGGGACCGATTTGTGGGGTTATTTTCAGTTTCCCACATTTGCTGGAAAATTGGAATTACACTTTAAGGGGTTTGGTGTTAGAAGGATGATTAATTAGTAAGGGTTTTTAGCAGGGACATGCAGTAAGGTCCATGCTAGGTGGGGCATTCCCACTGCCTGCTTCTGCCCCACCCCCAGCTCAGTGCCGCCCCACCCCCAACACGGTCACCGAGCTATGTGTGGAGGAGGGAGGGAGAAGGGAGTAGACTCCCTGTCCCTCACTTGCTAGTCACTGGTGAGGCATCGAGATAGATGTCCTCAGTGTTTTTTTTTTCTTCGTTTTTTTGATTGAACAGCTTGGACCAATGGCGCTTTCACATGGGTCCAAACCATTCACAGAGCTCAAGCCTCTAGTTCCAAGTAGAGGTTGTTGTAGTTCTGGCCTCACTAGGTTGCACAAAGCAGTGGGAAAGTCAGCTGCTGTGTAACCTAACCTAGCTGTCAAAAGCCGGATGAAGCACAGACTGTAATTAACAGGCAGCGCTCCGTCCATGACAGGTTACACAGCTGGGAGGCTTTACCTGCTATGTAACCTGTTAGAAGCCAGTCTGAATGGAGAAAATGCTGTCAACTTCAAAATTGTCAACTTCAAAATTGAAGCTGACTGCTTTTTCCTCCATAATACTAGGTGAGTTAAAGCTAAATTCCAGACAAACTGCTAAAAATATAATTAAAATACATATAAGAAAGCAAAGTATATGTATTTCTGACCATCCTGTTCTGAGATGTAAAAATATCTGCCCGTGCCCAATAGCATAAGCAACCTAGTGGTGCAGACATATTTGCTGCAGTTATGGAGGTGATCTCCCTGCCCCAACCGTCGACTGAACAGAAAAGGTGTAAAACTGCCCCATATACACCTTTGCAGAGGTTGAAATGAAGCTGCCATCTATGAGAAACAGCACAAGAAGGGGTTTCAAATGAGAGCTATGATAAGAGTGGACTGGGGTTTGCAAAGCTGAGAAACAGGTTAAGGTGTCTTACATTAGTGATACATGACCAACATACTGTATGTGTATGGTCATAAGGAGTCGGTAAATAGCACTGTGTCATGTCATTAAATGCAGAATAAAGCTTTATTTGAATTTGATATTCAGTTTGATGTTTGAGCATAAATCTGTTATTACAATAGCGGTAAAAAACCAGCCGTTTTAATGCATTCCTGTGTTTTTTTGTATTAAATACATGTTTTTTTTAAAAACACATACAGGTAAGATGGTCCTTTCTTCATCCAGGTATTGGAACTCTTGAAAATTGAAATCAAATTCGTTGTCATAAGCAAGTAACTTCTGCTCAATTCCTTTCCTGAAGTGACGAGTTCGGAGCACTTGCCCAGCTTCATGAGCATGAAGAAGGACAGCAAAAACATGGATGCCATCTGGCTGTTCATAGTTCAGAGCCTAGAAAAAAATGAAAATACTTTATTTTATTCTACAGATGTCCTCAGTAATATCCTACAAAATAATGTGGTTATGGGTAATATGGGACTAAAGCTTTTTCTCCAAATTACATATTCTTAAGGACACTGATTTTGAAAGATTTTTTTTTTTTTTTGCTGTCAAGGAAAAATACATTTAACATCTTTGACACATCTGGCACATGAGGAATGGAGACAATTATCAGCTTCCTGATTTGGCCACAAACAAAGCCTGCATTTTGGCTCAAAATGCATTATTTCTAGTATATGAGAAATGTTTTTGAGGGCTATTGTCAACAGTCTATAAATCCATGTCTGCAATGTGGTTATATTTATGAATTGTAATATTTAGTGGAATATGCACCATGAGCAAAAAAATAATTAATTTTAAAGATTAACTTTTCATTGTCACCCACAAAAAACTTAAAGGAGAATTATGAGGCGAGTGCTTTTCACTCAGCCTCATAATCTGAGCCTACCTGTGACAATGAAACTGTCACAGGTCGGCTCAGTAGATCGGGAAGTAGGTGAACGCATACTGTCGCTCGCTCACTTCTCGATCTATCCCTGCAGAGAGCCGTGACTTTCACTCACGGCTCCCTGCAGGAATCCCCCCCCCCTCCCTTATTGTCAACAGTCTATAAATCCATGTCTGCAATGTGGTTATATTTATGAATTGTAATATTTAGTGGAATATGCACCATGAGCAAAAAAATAATTAATTTTAAAGATTAACTTTTCATTGTCACCCACAAAAAACTTAAAGGAGAATTATGAGGCGAGTGCTTTTCACTCAGCCTCATAATCTGAGCCTACCTGTGACAATGAAACTGTCACAGGTCGGCTCAGTAGATCGGGAAGTAGGTGAACGCATACTGTCGCTCGCTCACTTCTCGATCTATCCCTGCAGAGAGCCGTGACTTTCACCCACGGCTCCCTGCAGGAATCCCCCCCCCCTCCCCTGTCCGATCCTCCAGCACTGACTGCCAAAACAGACGGGGGAGGGTGCGGGTACAGCTGGCTCTGCCTCTGGATAGGCAGAGCCAGCTGTCAATCCCGCAGCTGGGTGGATCCAGACAGTATAGTCGGGATCCGTCCCTGCTGCGGCGTCTCAGTATACCGCAAGCTGTAGCTCGCGATATACTGAGCTTTGAGTCACGGGAGAACGCTAGTTTGTGTTCTCCCGTGACCCTTAGGAGAACTATGGGGAAAAGCCCTGACCCCATAGTTCTCCTTTAACATATAATCCTGCAGAATTTAGCAGGACAGCACAATTATATACGGTTCCCATAAGAAAGGGTTGTAGAGATTGGCCAGTAGACAGTTTAAGTTCAGTTTAGAGATAGGATTTTGCAGCCGTTCTTTCACAGCTTCAATTGTATGACCAAATCTTACAGCTCTAGCTGTTTAGTACCTGAACCAAGCTTCCATTCATTAATAGAAAATGGAAATATTTGCATTATTACAGAATACAGTCAACAACCAGCTTTCCCACCCATTTGATATTGAAAAGTCTCTAAACAAGCAGAAAGCCAGCTTCTCTCTCAAACAAAGGCCACTTATCTTGAAATCAATTATAGCTATGTATTGACACCTTTTAGTTAACCTATTATTTAGTTATAAAAATTATTTCTGTTGAACAACTTGATTAGTAATGTACCACTTTCTACACATACCTCTTCCAAACATTCCACAGTGCAGTGTCCTTCAGAGCTGAATGCAGGCATACCTGGTGGGATCATGTGATATAGACTAACCCAAATGCCCGCCTCTAAAACACCAGCATCATATTTCCTTGTGTGTGGAGTATAATACATTTTAAGTCCTGAGTTATCAATTAAACCTATAAAATCAAGAAAAAAAAGCATGGTTAAGTAATCCAAGAACAGATAGATTTTATAGATTAGTATGGAATGGACATAATCCAATCAAATGAACACTGAAAAAAAGATTTGTTTTGTAAATTACCTTTATACAATATATTCAGAGCAAAAAAATGTTTACTTAGTCCTGTAAATATGTAATATAAACCACTTGAAGTTGACATTTGGTAAATGTGAATAGCTGGTTTCCTACTAAAATGTGGATGCTGGATATCAGATTACATGCACAAAGACAACTGAAAAAGTATAGGTGGCTAACAGCTTTCCTACTGCTTTTCTAGCAAAGATCCTCCCTATCTGGTTTTTTATTCTGCAGGAACAGACAACAACTCCGGCGCTAGTACTGGCCTTTCCTATTAGACAATAAATGTTGCATGTGTCTAGCATAAGGATTTTATACAGACTAGCAAAAGTTTGCCCATTCTAGAAAAGGATGACGTGGAAGCTGTGGCTCTCATACAGAGACACACTAGTGTAGTTTATATGCTGTACTCTCACCTTGGCCATTCACATAACACCTTTTATTCTGTTAATCATTTACAGAATACAAGGAGTTTTGTGACTGGTCAAGGTGAGAGAAGAGGCAGATAAATGGTACTAGCACTTCTGTGTATGCGACCCACAGTGGGACAGAAATATAGCAAGAGCTGTATTTTCCGGTGAGGTGGCCAAGAAGGTTTCGGTGTGAGTGATGGCTGAGGTGGCTTGGGAGGAATGTGATTTGTGGGAGAAAGAGGGTTTCAGAGAGAGCTACACTGTGAACAGGGGATAAGGTAGCTGGAGGGGGATGTACTATAACTTGAAGGTGAGGTAGCTGACAATGCATAAGCTGTGACCAAAGCTGATGTAGCGGGGAAAGGATGCAGATGTGGGTCATAATTCTACAAGACTCTCTTTTTCTAGTCAGTTTACTCCTCCAGCATGCTCCCTGTGACACATGCCTTGCCACTCCTGGGAAAGAGAGTTTTGCCTGGGATACCAGTTGTGGCTCTGCTCTTCAGTATCCTCTCCATCTAACCTTTTTGGCTGCAGTGCGGGGCACACATTCCTCTTTGGCAGCCTGGGACTTCCACTTCTGCAGTGAGGAGGGGAGTGACAGCAGCTTGTGCAGTAGCAGAAGTCCCAGACTCGAAGGAGTGTGAGGTAAGTCCAACATCCATGAAAGGGCCTGCCAGATAGTTTGTGAGTAGATTATAAATCTCATGTGCAGTAAATATAGCTACTTCTAGTGAAGCCTTTGTTTCCATCCACTGTCCTTTTACTTTTATGGGATAATGAAAATTATATACAGTATCAATTTATAAACTTACAAAAACAATTACAAATAAAATTCCTGAAAACCACCAGAGTTTCCTTTTTAAAGGCTGCATTTTCTGAAAGCTTATATTTCAGCAATGGGTGGGTGTTAACACAGTGAATAACGCAGGAGTCTTTTTTACATTTCACAGGCAAGATTTTCTTTCCAAAGCATTCTCAGGACACTAAAGATTAAAGAGACAGCACAGAAGAAGATACATGCTTTTTTAGCTCACTATGTCAGACTAAGTGTAGGACACAGCTGTCCAATAAGGAATGAGTGGCTGCTCTGACTCATTTGTGTCTGTAAATTTCAGCTTGAGCCAGTGATCTCAACTGACTTTTTACATCAAAGAAGCAAAGGAAAAAGTGAAAACCATAAAAAAATATTTTTCCTTTCACTCTAGCTACAATAAATACATAAAGAAAAACTATACACAATCAATATACAGTCTTTTTAAAAACAGACACCATAGTTGGAATAATACTAACCAAGTTCAAAGCCCTAATTTTAATGCCTCTGACTAAAATTTCCTTTCACATGACCAAGAGTTTATTACTATTTATGGTCTGCCATAAAATAACTACTGTTACTACAGAGGCTAGCCAGGCAATCTTTTTAATCTTATTAGTAAATTCAATAAATGACAAACCAATGTTTCCCTAAGCATTTAAGTTTAATATATTACAGAAATGTAATGAATTCACATGAAACCACAATATGAAAATATGTTTTTGGAATGCCGGTAATGTTAGTGCAAGAATGCAGTCCCCAGTACTGTAACATTAAACAAAAATCTGTCAGGCTTTTTAAAGTTTTAAATCTAAACATGTAGATGCCACAAGGTAAGTGCTATAACCTTTCTTAACCTGAAAATAGTCTGGTGAAACCATGAATCCCTTGTTGCGCTCTGTCACTAAAGCCTGACTATTCAGGTTTTGAAAATAAGCCAAACCCTGTGAACCAAGTTCCACCCACTGCTTACCCCTCTCAGAAAACCTTAGTGACCTATACCAACACTAGAGTGAGATAGTGGATATTTATGGTGTGTTCCGGTCAGGTGGGAAAGTTTATCACTAATATCAGAGAAGTCAAGTCCATATTGAGAGATACCTGGGGCCACCCAGAAATACAGGAGGTTTTTTTAGGTTTTTTAGGCCCTTTGTAATGTCTGCATTTAGGAACGATATTTAGTTTTAAACCCCAATAAAGGTTGAAAAGTTTGATTTAAAAAGTGTTTTTTTTTCTGCACAAATAGGCAAAATATGGGTGGGATGATAGAGAGGGTTGATGAAACCTAAACTTTGTGGAACGAATGGGGGAGTGGTAGGGCACACAATATCATCCTAATTTTCCCAAAAGTGTAAAAGTGAATAACAAGACAGTCAAATTAAAATCTCCTGTCTGTGTTTAAGAAACCAAGGCCAAACCAGCTTAAGACATATTTGACAAAAAGCAGACAACTTTGATAGAATCAGAAATATTATAAACTTCCAACTAGCAAGGGACTTCAAAGAACTTCTGATGAGACCTAGTTGAAAATAGTCAGGTCATAAAAAGTCTGGTATGCAGTTTAAAGAATACATATCTGGGAGACTGAGATAGTGACTTATAGTTAAGTTCCATTCATATTCCATAACTCCTGCATTCATGGAGTTACATTCCTAAAAATTAGTCACATCAAAAGTAGTTACATTAATGTACTCAGACACCAGGTATGGCTCATTTACATTAGACCTCCAAGGAGAAGCATACTTCAGAAATATATCATGTTTGGCATCTAACAAATCCTAATTTAATTCTGCTAAATAAGATGTTGTTATTTGGATTGGAAAACTGTCATATGAAAATATAGATGTAACCAGGATTGTTGGCATTAAGGGTTTGTCTGCTGCAGCATTATAAAACACATTGCCTACCTACAACACACCCCTAGACCTTTTGATTGAGTAGTGGTTAGTTCTGCAACACACTCCGAGGCCAAGAAAAAGCTGTTGCATCAGCAACTGCAAGATCTTATTTTAACCATTGGAACTACTAAAAATTTATGAAAGTCAGTGACTCCTGCAACTTCCGATTGGACCTAATCTTCCAGTGATCTAAACTCCATACTGCAGCGAGACCAGATGGACAGATTGTTGCTAGAAAATGTCTGCATATGGTGAGGCTGAGAGTGTGGAAATGTCACAACTTGTACATTTCAAAGTAGGCAATATGTGTCCCCACAGCTTAAACCTTGAAATTCCTGTGTCAGAAGGAAATGTAGGTGATCATGAAAATGTTACCATCCTCTCTTTTTTTAATGGTTTGCACCCATCATCACAATGTAACGCACAAAGATTATATGGAGAACATAGTGCATTTATATTTTAAAGTAGAACCCTTGCTAAAGGTTTTTTTAGGTTTTTATTGTTCTCTGGTGCCTGCTGGGTAATATTTGTTAATGGCACACCAATACAGCTAACGATCACATGTGTGTTGGATCGCGCCACATTACATGGTAACCTATTGCAATGCAATGCGTTGCGATGCAAGTTCATAAAAAGGTGCATACACTTCTTTCAGTGCAATTTAGCTGCAGTAGGCAGCCCGTTCATTTGAATGGGCTGCCTACTGCAGCACAGCACAAGTGCATCCTGTAGTACCTCTACAATGTCACATCGAACGAGGGCTTGATGTGTTTTTAGATAATTTATTAACTGAAATGGTTAACCTTACCACTCAAAGCTGCTTTTATCAATGCAAATAACAAAAAACAGCCTGATAAATCTTTAATAGAAATTACTGCAGGGAAGAAAACAAAGCAACACAAATCAAAGTCCGCACTCCGCACAATACATACAGTAAGTTAATGTTATAAATTTTAACTTGGATCAACCGAAAAAGATTTTTATAACCAGTCACAGTTACCACCCACGAGTTTTATGGGTATGATTGAGAGGAATCAGATGTAAATAGTGCCTAATTCTCGACTTACAAAGCCAATTTACAAAAATGAAAGATTTACATTGTGAACATCATGACTAAAAAACTATTCTGGGACTTGCAGCTTGTTTGGACTTAAGACTAATACATCATTGTATATAGTGAAGCATCTCAATGCTCTGATAGTCTTTAGTATGGACTAGGATAACTTTCTGAAGATTACAAAAATCACATTGACAACAGGCATTGTTCTTTCCCAGTAACTGACATTGTGATCACGTCTTTGCAGATAGTTTATTAATATGGATTAGCTTCAAGTTTGGGGTGACCATGAGCTCATCCTGCACCCAAGTCATTCACGGTTCCAGAAAATGGTGACTTAATGTGGCCATTTACAACTATAACCAATTACCAACAATGCACTTCCTTTTCCGTTTTCTTATGTACCAGCCCCTGGCCTATAAATGTTAGGGCTTCTAGCAACCTTTTATTAGTGTTTTGCAGGTGACATGGAGTAGTTAAGGACAGATAACAAACTGTTTGCAGGGATAGCTAGTTGTTACTGCTGATTGTTACAAACTGTGGTGGTCTTCATACTGTGTACCCCAGTGATCACAGTGCATAGACCCAACAGTGTTTTCTAGGACTTTTTACCTGCTGGCCCCCTTTGCAATATTTTCACATTTTCATATTTATTTTTCACTTTCAGTTAGGTTAAACACCCCCTTCCACTACAGAAAAAGAGTTTAGTGTTTTAGGGTTGGTGTTTGTGGTTTAATGTTTTAGGGTTGGGTTTAGTGTTTAGTTTTATTTTTTGACGGTGTTATGTTTATATTAATACCATTTTGCTTCAGGGTCAGCAATGTGAACATATTTTGGACACAGGCAAAATTTCCCTAGGTTTGCAAAACATCACTGCATACTGGTGTAGTACATTTTAGTGCATCAAATAACCAAGGCCATCTTGTGGGATGGTGGCCAGCCTGCTCCTTTAGATGTTCCCCTTCTCCTATCCCTAAAGTGCAGTGGATCCAGCCACAAACAGGAAATGTGGCAGAGAGCGATTCTTTGCCATGCTGCCTCAGAGTGAGGCACTTTGTGTTCTCTTTTGGTGGTGACATAGACCTCACATGATTTTCCCCTTCTATCAAGGATGGGTGAAAAATCCCCCTTGAAGCCTTCCCAAAACAAAAAGTCCTCATCACTGCCAGCAGCCCAACACTCCTCCTCATGGCATACCACATGCAGGTGGATGGTAGGGATGAACATCTGTGCAACATAATGGCACTGGCTTGGGACCTTATGGTCAAAACCATAGAGGCTGGGTACCTGCCACTGAGGCATAGCAAAGTCACTAAACAAGGTTGCAGTAGCAGTCCAATAAAATCAAGTTCCAGCATGTGGGTATATCAGGTGCTTGGCAGGCAGTTTATTTATTACAGGTATTTATATAGTGCCGACAATTTACGCAGCTCTTTACATAGTTGCACATTCACTTCAGTCCCTGCCCTCAAGGAGCTCACAATCTAAGGTCCCCATCTCACATACAGGGCCAATTTACACAGGAGCCAATTAACCTGCCTTTGGAGTGTGGGAAGAAACCAGAGTACCCAGAGGAAACCCATGCAAGCACAGGGAGAACATGCAAACTCCTTTGCAGATGGTGATCTGGCTGGGATTTGAACCAGGGACCCCACATGCTGCAAGGCAGAAGCACTAACCTCTACGCCACTGTGCTGCCCAGTTTGTGTTGCACTGCATTTTAGCCAGGCAAACATGTGCTGGGTATGGCCACCTAGGCTGACTGCACAGTCTTCTGGCCTGCCGCAGGACATCTTGGATGCCAGGATGCCCCTAAAGACCTTCCAGAATCTCTGGTCCATTGTGGCACCTGTCCCCCAGACATACCCGCTGCAAAACAGTGTGGCAGAGTTTTGCAGAAGCTCTGGGGTGCATAGGGGTGACTGGTGGTTAGGAGGAGCGACAATATGAGGGTCTTGAGGAGAAGAGGGGAAAGGCAACTGCACTGTCACCATCACCAAGGTGTAGGACAAGGGGCAGCATCACCCACTCCAACACTGTGTCCCATCCTGCATCCTTCCCAGCCTCTAGAAAATTTGCCCTGTAAACCATAAACAGCAGTGGGCTGCTGAAAGCATAGTCCAGCAACACAGAGACATTACCTTCCACATGCTGGATGAGGCAAAAAATGGTGGCTGGGTACCTGCCAATGTGGTGCAGCACAGGCTATAAACTTGCAAAAGGAGGCCTATTCCACCAGCTAGAATAGGAGTAGATATAAAGCCAGCAGTTTTGCCAGCAGTTTTATAACTGAGACGCAGGGCATGCGAGTGAATATGGGACATTTTTTTCTTTGGGTAGGTGGGGTCAAGAGACTTACGAGGTTAAATCCAATGCATGGCCCCATGCTGACCCTCTTCCCTGCTTGATGTGCCATAAGGAAAGCCACTCAAACCTCTTGTGAGACTTCCTTCCCTATTGCTTAAGGATGCAGAGCTCCATCTGAACTTATTGGTGCATAGTCTTGTCAAGGTTTTGTGGTTTTGACGTTTTTTGGGCACTCTATTTTGACATTATCTTTAACTTTTAAGACAATGCAGTGTGAAAAAAGAAGCTCACCAACTATACTATTAAACTGTAACAGCACCAATGGCCAATTTGTATGAAGTTGCGAGGTTAGGCTTTATTTTTTTTGAAGAATACATTTTCTATTGAGGCTTATTACCACTGGATAGAAAAATCAGGTAAATATATATGTGATGCCAGAATATGCATGTCACTGATGCTGTCTGTGAGAATTGTACTGTGCATGTCCATTAAAAAAAACCATGCAAATAAAAGAAATTTTTAAGATTGTAAAATAGATTCAGTAGGTACCGTATTTTGCTTTCCATAAGACGCACCGGACAATAGGACGCAGGGAGGTCCGGTGCGCCTTATGGAGCACTCGAAAGACCGTAGCTTCTGTCACAGCTTCTGTGACAGAAGCTGTGACAGAAGCTGCAGTTATTGACCACTGAGACCGGTAGCACTGTGATTACAGCGCCACGTTCTCAGTGATCACACAGAGCAGACGAAGAACGTCCGTTCTTTGTCTGCTCTATGGTGATCTCGTTCGCCGCTGCTCGGTTTTAAACGAGCCGTGGCTCCTACTGTACATTTAGCTCTGCTATGGCAGAGCTAAATGTACAAAGCACTACTAATGGCTATTGCAAGCTCTTTGTTGCAACCTCTGTTATGTCAAATATTTCTAGTAATCCCAAGATAGCTGCTGTGAAACTATGTGTAAAATGAAGTCTTCCCAGATACAAAGAAATAATGCTTTCTTTCCCAATTGGCTGGGAATATTTTCTGGGGAGTCTGGGGTGAGCTGTTTGTGATCACTGCCTTTTTTCACAAACTTTCTTCTTATACGCTTGTTGTAGATTTGTTGTCAGTAGTTTTGATAATTCAGAGCTTAGCAGAAGAGATTACAAGCAGTGACACGGTCACGGTGTGTTTAGTGAGCAGAGGGAGGGTGAGGAGGCAGCTATGTGCATTAAGAGATGATTCCTCTCTGCGTCATGGGAGTTGTAGGCAAAGAAAGATGTGCATGTGACCAGAATCAACGTGCATGGCTCTTACTAAGTGACAGGAAGTGTGAGGGGAGAGAAGAGCCACGGGAGTGAGCACAGCAGACTTTCCAAAGGGATTAAAATAGTAAGACTTTATTTTAAAACTTAAATAAATGTAGCTTTAAAAAATGTTCATTGTGTAGATGTGTATAAGGAGAATAAAAGCCGAGGGCTTTGTGTCGCTTTAAGGTTTAGAGTCTGTTTTACATAAAGATAGGTTTTCTTACCTTCCTGGTGAGAAGGATTATCATAGTGGATTTCCATTAAGACATATGTTGGGTCTTCAGGCATCCCAATTGACAATCCAACATTAGGTGGATATGTGAATCCCTGCAACCATTTAAATACACGAAGACAAATATAGTAAGCAAAAAACACAAAAGCAGAAATCTGAATGTGTATTACAGGCTGGTAAAAGATTAAATTAATGAAATAGTAAGGAAAATGAGTGAATATTTAATGTGGTCATAAATCTACAAAAGATTAGATACAATTTTTAACAATATCTTGTGCTGCAATAATCTGAGTTTTTAGTGTGATTTTAAAGATGTTTAGCCTATTATCTGATTTATTATATGTTTGGTGCATTTATAACCAATTTATGAACAGGACATAAAGCCTTACCTCTCCTCCAATAGCCCAAGCATATAGTACCGTTTCACATGTAAGAAATATATCAGGCATATTGGGGTGGTAGCATTCATGTCCATATTCAAGGACAGTATCCTGCGCATCTCTTTTACATTCGTATAGTAGTATGTGATGTACCAGACTCTCATGACCCTTTTGTATTAGTGGTTCAACCTAGAAAAGAGGTGTCAAAATGATTATGTATTTTGTAAGCCCTTAAAACATAATATGACAAAAAGGAGAACATTAACAAGCTCTCTTTACCCAACAAAAAAATTGGCCCAAAGATTTTTCATGTTATGAATGTGGTCACGGGTATAAAATAAATTTTGGGTGCACTGATAGGGACTTAAAATCTGAGCCATATAGGAATAAAACAGAAGTTCGAAATTAAGCAGATACATTGTCTTGAAGTAGACAGCGAATGTATTTATTTATTTTTTTATTACACAGTTTGTACTTTTATAGGAAACAATACCTGTAAAATGCAAAATTCCCCCTTTCCTTCCTCAACAGGGAAGTACATCCAGTAGCTCAGAAGAAAATCTTATTTAAGTCTGCAAATCTTTACTATATGGGCTTTGCTGCATGTACAAAAGATAATTGTTGATCCTGGCGAAATCCAGCAAGCTTATACATTTCTCTGCACTCTGCCCCTGCTGCACTGAAATCCCAAGCCATGTTAACAGCCCTGCCCAGGTCTTTTCTGCTGAACTACAAAAACCTGCCTCTTATGTCATAGAGATGTTGAGAGGGGAAAAATAACTGAGCAGGGCTGATAACACTGCTTAGGACCTCTTAGTGCTTAGTGCAGCAGAGGTACTGTGTTGTTCGTTTAAACAGAAAGTTGGGCTCTCACTGGATTTTCAGCAGATTTTCAGTTATTGTTTTCTCTGTGCAGTGTTTTTAAAGAGACAAACCATAGAGAAATGTGCATGTATTGCAGAAATTAACTTAGTGGAAAGGAGCTTGACAAATTTCAACTTTTTAAGGGCCATACACTGGGAGAACACAGTTGTGACAATGAAAGGATACTTGAACTATTTGAATAGGAAGCTCAAGAGGGGATTCCAGCTGGGGACAAATGTATTTTGCTTACAGATCAGAATAATCTGCTCTTAGTAAGGGTTTCTGTAGAGGCAGCTGATAATGAGGCAGTGTCAGTGAGGACACTTGGGGTGCCAGTCCAGACCTTTGTGGATCTGCAGATGGGCATCTTAGGATGACCAAATCTATTATAGACTGGGTGACCCACTACCAGGTAAGAAAGTCACTAACACCTAATAAGCACATGTATGAGAAAACCAAAAACGAATCCAAATTCACAATATATACATGCAAGTAAAATAAAAAAATATTAAAGATTTATAGGCATGATGGTTCCTTACAAAGCTATGCCCTTTTTGTGAACTGTGCATATTTATCCAAAGACCACTTTTGGAAAGCAGTTGAACACTGCCAAGCCTAAGATCTAAATCCTTTAATACTTGTGCTTAGAACAACATCAACTGCCTAAAACAGATATATCATTGTTTGAAATCTATTGATGTATTTCTTCTAAGCCTTCCAAATGTCTTCCAGTCAACTGATGTCCTAACAAAGAAATTCATGAAAAGTATTTTACTTTTCTAAAACACAATTTTAACCCTTTTGCAGTATGCAAACAAAAATGGAATGGGACATTTTTTATTATGTTTATAAGTGCAAATTTACAATACTTCTTTTTGGTATTTAAGACTCTCAAAATTTCAGTCTATTTTAAAACCAATTTAATGGATTAGGAAACAACTACTAACAATCTGTATTTTAAAATATTTGAGTGCACCAATTCTGAAAAATAGATTCTCTGTGTTTTTTTCTTTCTATCTTTAATGTCAGCTCTAGGAGGAAATATGGTGAAATACATGAATTGTGTTAACACTTGTATTATGCAGGAATGGCATGCTTTATTTAAAGGAGAACTATGGGGTCAGGGCTTTTCCCCATAGTTCTCCTTAGAGTAACGGGAGGACACAAACTAGCGTCCTCCCTTTACCCTAAGCTCAGTATACCACGAGCTACAGCTCGTGGTATACTGAGACGCCGAAGCCGGAGCGGATCCCGACATCGATGTCGAGATCCGCCCAGCTGCGTTAGTGACAGCTGGCTCTGCCTATCTAGAGGCAGAGCC